CAATTTGGTCGAGTACCGAGTAGGTTTTCAAAAGTAAATATTTCAAATATAAATATTTTCATAACTTATTCTTTTTTCAATCAACCCTCGCTGTTATGGTTGTTATAGCTGTTGGCCTGGCCCTGTCAATATCTATGCCTGCAGCGTGGCTTTCGCTACACGCGCCAGTTGACCCTTTGGGGCTTTGGGTTCAAAACGTGTCGCTAGCGGTGGCGGTTTCGCATTGGGGATTGCAATTGGGGATTCGTATTTGGTTACGGATTCGGTTATTGAAACACCAGAGACCAGTCAGGCATGGCTAAAATAAAAATGTTGTCACGCCGTTTGCAAATACTCGCAATTGTATTCGGCTACAAATTTTCAACAAATCGCATTTGAAAGTTATGCGCCCCTGAGTCGATTTATAGGTATCTTTTGTGTTCCTTTATTTTTTCTTCTCCTTAGTTTTGGTTAAGTGTGAGCCAACAAATTGCCAGCAACTTTTATTTTTGGCTAAATGATTTTTTTTATTGGAGCAGCAAACGCCTTTTGTTTCTACATATGCAAAATGTGTCCTTCTTGGTAAGGCAATTGTTATTAATGGATATCAAAACGAATATGGTTAATGTGGGTAGTAAATAGGCAGGTATTAGCACTTTTAGTTTACTTGACTATGATTTTAAAAGTTCTGCAAAGGATTAAGGAAATAATTTCTTTAAATTGTTTTATATATTTGTGTATATATCTTATGTTTGTCCCGTTGAAATTTGTATATTTAAATTAATTATAACATATAAAGACACAACATAAATATCTGCATGTTTTAAAACTTCGTCTTCGTTATCGTTATGTTAAGTTAGACTCTAGGAATTTCTGTTAAATTTGTACAAGACTTTCTGATAAATATTATTATTGAGCAGCGTGCTGTAGCTTAAATTATTTCTGGGTAACTAAGCGGTTCTTGAACTCTTATTTGGCTGAGTAACTTTCGGGCACAGTTCAAATGTCAATAGCACCCAAAACGGAAACTTAACGCAACAACAACCAACAAAATTGCAAACAAATGAGGCGGCTCCCTGTCGTTCGTATGGCACACGTGCCGGACAATATTTTATTTTAGTTTTTTTCTTAGTTACGCCACAAGCCAAAACACAAATCACGTTTATTTCACATACAATAAGACAGAAATTCAAAAACCAAAAAGCCATTTGACGCATGCATTTTGTAAGTAAATGTTTTTCTGTGTTTATTGCCGCTTCCTCAACATTTGCTTAGAGTTTTTTAAAAATACTTTTTTTCTCTCTTGTTTTTTGTGATTTATTTTGCGTCTGCACGGCAGCGCCCAAAACTGAGGCCTGACTTTGTTGAGCTGCATGCTTGACTAATTGCTGAAAACATATCACGGCACTAAATTAGCCGCATCAAAACAACAAAACGGACAACTAAACAAAAAAAAAATAAACAAAATTTATTTGTTGGATTTGCGACACGCCTTTGCATTCGGGCAAAGGTTCAACAGTCGTTGTCTACCTTTTGCTTCCGGTTTCAGGGCGCCAGCTGCAGGTGAACATTTTTTGTATTTGTCTTCTTGCTATTCGTTTATTTGTGGTCTTTGTGTTTGACATGTGTTTGGGTACTTGTTGTGTCATCTTCCTCGCATTGTGCAGATTTCATATGACTGTCAAATGGTGATTATCCAAATTCATAAGCACACAGAGTCGTAAAATCTACAAGTGTTTAAGTACTTGCTAGTTTGTATAATTGTTTTTTTGTTTTTAATGTTAGATTTGACGGAATAAGTTTGCATGCTTCTGCCATAAATTATATTTTCTTAAAATTAATAGCTGATTTAAATTTTGACATACAAATTTATTACTTTTTGTGACAAACAAACAAAGCAGAACTAAATAACTTAATATTTTTAATTAAGCAGAAGTTGTTCAATGTTTAAACATACTTCAAATATAACAAAAATGGAAGAAGTCAATTGCTTAACAGAAGTTGTAATAAAGTCATAGGAAGACCTCAGGTCCGGTTAATCACAAAAGTACGTATTTAATTCATTAATATTTATTTAATTTTAAAACATTTTCGATAAATTCAATCTCCTTAAGTAAAGATATATTGTTTTCTCCCCTTATTAATATTGCAATATTATATTTATTTTTTGTAAACACAAAAGTGAAAATAGCTTAAAGCTTGATCTTTCTAATAACCTTTCCAAGTAAGATAAGGCTTAAGCTTTCTAGGGCTTTAAGTTGACGTCACGGTGTGGGCTCTTCAAGATATTGAACAAGAAATCACTTTTCATATGTATTTACAGTGCTGGCGACATGTGTTTTATGTCTACGATCCATTGTGGACATATTTTATGATTGATTTACGTCTCATTTGCATTCGCTTATGCTACGTGCCCTTTTTGTCCAAATAGTCGTATTTATGCGACATTTATGGTGGGAATATGCTTTGAATTTATAATGCGCCTTTGGTGCTCTGCACCTGGCTCTGTCACACACACGTGGCGTGTGTGAATTATTTGGGCGTGTGTAATAAAAATTACTATTAAATAATAAAAATGTAATTTATGTCCATTTAATTAATAGCCGAAGGCATTGCGTGCCATAATAACCAAATCGTTTGGGTGGCACATACTCCACACAAATTGAGTCATTTTGTGGCATTTTGGTGCTTGGTGTTGTTGTTGTTTATTTTTTTTTAGTTGCTTGGTTGGGCGCACGTTTAGCCGCTTAAACTTTGGCCTTAGCTAATCAATGTGCATCTTGGAGTTTAATGTGTGGCGCAGTGCCAAATGGTTGGGCACAGCCAATGTGTCTAATGCCAGAGGCAAATCAAAAGACTTAGGCAACAAACTTGGCTCACATGCATTATAAATGGTTGCATACATAACACTTTGTTGACCCAATTGCGCCTGGCTGTCTGAAAACTCGGGCGCGCTTAGCTGAACCTTTTAAAGAGCTATTACATGTTTAAGCTAAAAGATTTTGTAGTACGTTGGGCCCGTGTGGCGCATTACTGTTGCTGCCTGGGCCCAAAACCGGGCAAACAACAAACAAGTAGCAAATTTTCTGCGTTGTCTTGCGGCTGACTGACGGCGACGCCGACGTCGACGCTATGTGATTCCAACATCTGCAAATCACATGGAACGCATGTTGACAAGCCCCGTCCTCGAAAGTGCGGCAGTTACAGTCGACGGCACAGTGGCTAAATTGCTAGAGAAGGTGCCTGCATAACAGAGCTGGCTCGTGAGAAGACTATTTTTCCTCCTTTCTGGAGTGGAAATGGATATTCAAACACGTGTGAAAGTAAACAAAAACTATTTGCAAAGTATTTTTAAAACATACATACATACATTGTCATCAATCAAAGCATTACTATTACAAGAAATTTTAAGAAATAGTTTTTGTATAAAAATTTTAAAAAATCATATTTTTATTTAAGGTAAGACATCAATTTTCTTTAAATTAAATAGCAGATGATAAATCTTCTTTATTTAGCCATTACTTAAAGACTTGTATTTACAATTTCTAAATTCCTTAAAATTATTATAAATAATAATGATAAAAATTAAGTGCTTTGCTTGATTGCGTTAAATCGACAGTTAAATTAAAAACATAAAACAAATTTAAAAATTTATAGAAGAATGCCTGCAGCATTTAATGCAGTTTTAACTTGAAATTAACGACTACAAATTATCAAATTTAAAAAATTTTCAAACATGTTGCAACTATCGTATAATTTTGCCATCGATCATTTTTATCGATTAAATCATAGAGACAAACCCCAAAGTCTACTATAAAAAATTTTCTTGTCGCAATCCTTGGTGCAACGCGCTCAAACAAGAAAACCGCATTTACCCATAAAAATGTAAGCATTTTTTCATGACCATATTGGGAGTCTAAATGAATAACTGACTTGGTAACTGACTGACTTTGTTGAAGAAGTTTGCCAAAGCGTTGGCAAAAAATGTCTCACAGATAATAAAAAAAAATAACAGTTCACATCGCGTAACTGGAAGCTTTGCGAAAAGCTAGCCTAATGGGCATAAATTGAGACGGACTCAATGGAAAATAAGGCAAGTAAATGGCGAAAATGAAATACAAAATAACTTGGGCAACAAACTGGATGCAATAAAATGTAGTTATATAGAAATCACGGCCTAACTACCCACTGCATTTAGCATAATTTTAACACCTAATATTTATGGCCAAAATGACAGCCCACTCTATCGAGTACCAGCAATGAGTACGCGCATATGTCTCTGTGTGCGTGTGCATGTGTGTATAAGTTATACATATTTATGTGCTCGTTTGTATGCCAACAACTGTCATCTGGGCACAGCCCGCGACTGCTATAACAATTACTTTGTTCAACACTTTAGCCAGACAATCGTTTTGATGCCAAGTCTTTGACAAACGTCTGCACTTTATACTGTTTCTCCGTCTGGGCCTATTAATTGATTTATGAAGAAGCGTCAACTGCTGGCTGCTTCATGCATGCCGTAAGGTGTGAAGCATCCGAAATGCAAGCAATGCTTTAAAATTGTTCAATGAAATCGTTTAGCAATGAACTGTAACAAATTTTACTTCGAAGCTGCGAGGTTCGTTTATAATGTTGCTGGTAAATTTGAATGTGAATATTTTTTGTACATTTATTTTAATTTAAAATGCTTATTTGACTAATTGAAAATTCCTATGTATAGTTAGTTAATCACGATTAATAAAAATAAAGTCATTTTCGAAGAGGAGAACTAGACTCAAAGATGATATACAGAAACAGTTGAGGAGAATATGTAGCAGTTAAAGCATTTATACATAATAAGTATTAACAATGATGCAGCAAATTATTTTCACTATTCTAATTGGTATTTAAAGTATTCATCAACGATATAGGGGAATCGTCTGGCACTTATAGTGTGAATAATTAATATGCTTTATTAATAAAAAATAATATAATATAATTGTTATTAATTGCTAATAAATCAAAACTGCATTTGCTTTTAGGCATTGGATAAAAGGATCATCGTTGTATATCATCAGGTCAATTAAAGTTGCATGTAAGTTAATTTTTTATTATATTACACAATTGAATAGTTTATTTATATATAATATTATATGTATTGCAACTGCCCTCTGCACCACGTAACGTGCACAAAATTGTTATATGAACGTATTGATTAATTGCTGACATGATAAATACGCTGCGTCTAAATGTGACACAAGTCGCTAGAGAAACAGACAGGGACAGAGACAAAGAAAGAGTGAGAGAGTTAGAGAAAAAGCCCCACAATGGCAACAACCACAAGCAGATCTAACCATAACAAATCATTTGTAATTAACACGCGTGGGTCTGACGCTCAGAGCCCCGATGCAAAGCGAGACAGAAACGCGATTCATACTCGCGCTCAAACGAATTCAGAATCAAAATTAAAAATTCATTTTCGCCACATGGTCCAGCTGCCATATAGGGTTGTTCGACTGGCAGCCTATGGAAAAAGACGCTGCGAACTTTAAATATTTCTGTTATATATCTAAACGAGAATTCAATAAATTATATAGAAATATATAGGTATGTGTTGTACATTTGTATTTGCGCGCACCATTTTTGAGAAACTTGTCTAAATTCGTTAGCTTGATTTATTTTGTGTTTTTGTGTTGTTTTTTTTTCAAGGCATTTACAAGCTATGTAAATCGGCTGGCTGTGTACGCCGTCATATTTATTTAATTATTTATTTATAATTAAATTGTTTATTTACTCGGCGATGTTGTCTTGACCATTTCGGATATTTGTTAAACAGGAAGCTAATTAGTTTGGCCATATTCGGCTTAAACTATGCGAATGATGGCTGCTAGTTGGGGGCCTGTTTGGTAGCATCTCTTAACAATTTGCATGTTATCCCAAGATATTTATCGCCTGGTTGACAGTGTACAGCAAAAATCTAGCTACGAATGGCAATGGTCGTGCTGCGTAGGAAATGGCTAATAGTTAAGCTGAAGATACACAAACATATAGTTAATTAAATGTTAAAAGATAAGCCGGGAAATACATATTTATATATATATATAAGCACATGGGTTTGTACATGAATATGAACTTGAGCATGTCACACAGAAGCATATTTCACGTTGCTGCTGTGAAGGACAGGAAGAGCGGTGACAACTTTCAATTTCTGCTTAAACATGTTGTGGAATAACTCATTCAATGTATTTGCTAGCGTTGTAGCCTAACCGCGCCCCATACACACTTGGGTATATGTCTTAAAAGCCTTTCCATCTCATGAATTATAGCTGAAAGCCTAAGCTGATTCAACACAGCCGCTCGTCACGCCCATTTCAATCGAGGGATTTGATTTAGACATTCACTAGCCAATTTCTCGACATTGATATGGCACTCAAAATGTCAGCTTTGAGCTGTAATAATTCCTATTAGACAGCCAACAAATCACGGATATAAGCTTAGATTAAGACTTGGTCCTTATCAACATTTTATTGTAAATAAAAACAAACAATTTATTAGTCGAATGCATAAAGACTTTTCTTTTTAACAGATAAAAAGAATAAATAAATATACTTAAAAAGAAATAAATAATATTACCATACAATTGGAAACATTTCCAACAGAGTAAAAATGAGAAAACATTTCTCATGGATACAGTCAATACATTAATAGCTTTTGAGAATTAAAATCCTTGGGTTCATTAATGATGAAACAAATATTCCAAAAATAAAATAATGAATAATAGTAAAATATTATATTATATATAAGGATAGCCTCTGAAGCAAATATAATTAAAACAAGTCTTTTTTCATTATTTCTGATTCTACGAATGCCAAAAATAAGATTAAAATGTATCTTATTTGTATCATAAATTTATGGCCTTTCTACATAAACAGATTTTTTTTCTCTATTATTAAGTAATACAATAAAATAATATAATACACTCAAATGCATGTGGTTAGCCCTAACTATATAATTATGTTTGTTTTGTTATAAAACTTTTGCCATGTGTGGAAATCTGCTAAAAGCCAAATTAAACGCTTTATGGTTTCCGTTTTTTTCTAATTTACAAGTACATAATTAAACATTATTGTAAAATAGCCGCAAAGAAAAAAAGAAGAAACTAAAGCTCAAATAAGAGCCAGGGGCGGAGGCAGCCAAGTGGGCGTTAGCATTGGTTGTCTGGTTAATTATTAATTTTTGAACTCTCCAAAAAGTGAATTGTTTGTCTCAAGAGAGTTGCACAATGCGGTCGTAAGGCAGGGGGCTGCCCTGCCAAGTGCTACAATTGCGCACTCGATTCGTGCCACGGGTCGCGGCAGCTGCCTCCTAATTGTCTGTCAACCCAGAGCGCAACAACAGCGTCGAGCATTGCCCACATTAGTTAATTATGCGGCCATTAAGCATCGCCGCCGTGAGCTGGTGAATTGGTGAATTGATGAGTTGGTGAGTGTGTCAGCAGTGGCAACTTCAAGTTGGCGGATCATTGAGAAATACGCAGAGGCTGCGAAGCGCCAAACAATTGTGTGCGCGTATCTCTCTCTGTGTGTGTGTGCCCAAAGACTCGCTTTTCATTTATTAGATTTCTTTATTACAGCTGTCTGACTTTTGCTCAGCTACAGGCCACACCTCCTCCTGCTCTCCATTCTCCTCTTACTACTCATCAGATCTCAATTGTGTTTCATTGTTTTTCTTTTTCTTTTTTGTCGTCTGCTGTTGATGGCATCATTTCAGCAGTTTCAGTCAGCTGCGAGTACGCGTATGTCGCGGCCTGCAACGGTGTGTGTAGTTTTGTAATGCGGCTCGGCTTGTGGGAAGTCGCCGTGCTGCTCCCTCAATACTCACATAAAGTTCGTCGCTTAAGTCTTTCGTTTGAACTGTACCCTGTGACAGATCAAATTAGGTGAAGTGGGTATATTAAAATTGTGGGAAATATGTAACGGTCTACTGAGTATATCTAAATTGTACGAAACATTTGACGGGAATTATTTCCATATATATTTCGCACCTGAAAAACGGAGTTCATTTATCCCATTGATTGCGGCGCTTATAATGACAAAATAAATTAATATATTGATGATATTATAATTTTTACAGTTAATAATACAATTAAATTAAGGAGTTTGATCCTTATTAGTCCAATATGGAGCATTACTTAGCCAGCCTTGAAATATTGAATTTTGAACATACGTTTACTGTTCATCTTTCATATTTGCTGGGTATCGATTTGTCCCCCACTCAACTCTTGTTTTTGGACTTCTTTTTCCTTTGCATTATTTAATTATTCATTCATTTGTGTTAATTGAATGCGTGCCACGCTGCACAGAGTCGTTGTGTCGATTTTCTGTAAAGCAGACGTAATGGCAGCATTTGCCTGCGTTGGCGTTGATGTTGTTGTAATCGCTAATATTCTTTTTTTTTTTTTTTTGTATTGTTGTTGTTGCTGTACATTGCATCAATTGTAAGACCAATAAAAATGAGAATTAATTTTCAAAAGATGCTAATGATTGATTGCGTTTGCATTTGATTTTCTGTTTTGGCAAATGTCAAAAAGCATTGCGTAAATTTTTTTTCTTGCTTTTAATATACTTTGATTTAAATTTTTTTGGGCGCAGCATTGCAGCGTGGGGTGTTTTGGCCATGCATTAAAATTAACAAGCATTTGACACGCACATAAAAAATAAATTGGAATCAGCAAAACTTTTAATTCAAATGGAACCCATAAATTGCATTTGAAATAGTGGTTTAGCCTTTTAGAACAAATCTCAATTCAAGTTAATAAAATAATATTTATAGAAAAAGGTTATCAATGAAATCGATCTTTTTAAAAGCTCATCCGTTAACTTCAATATCAAATGAGATCGTTAGTTGTTTCAGTTTTAAATAAGTCATCTAACTTGACAGTTATAACAAATTCTGAATGTTTACAATCGTCAGTTCATCAGATTTGGAGCAACAACATAATCCCTTGCCAATGCCAATGCCTGTCACTCCAATTCCGCAATAATCCATTTATGATGTGCGCCAATAGCAAACACAAATCCGTTGGTTTATGGCTTAGGCAGAAAGTTCCCCACATAAACCTTGGCGGCCACCAAAGCATTGGCTATGGTCATTGCGAAATTAGCCCCAATAAAAAGCTAAAAAAAAAATCGAGAAGAGAAAACAACCCATAACAAAAACTGGAACTTCAAAGAGCAGAGCCCAAAAAAAGCTGAACACTAGCAATTGTCATAAAACTGATGCGGAAAGCCCACCATTTGATGAGTGCGCTTCCATAAAGATCAGAATTTTATAGTCAGTTGTGCTTAAGAGCCTGATCACTTCTGGGAAATCTCAGCAGCAGCAGTTGGCACCAGTTTGTCTGCCAACGCGCAGACGACTACGACGACTACACAAACACGGGGAGAGGCATGACAGCATCCGATGATTGATGGCCAATAGCGACTCATAACGGCTTTTTGGTTTTGTCTGCATTAGGCCAAAGTTGTACACGTCTTGCTTAAACGAAACGATACGAAACGAAACGAAACGCTGCACATCAGCCACATCAATCATACGCCCCCACAGCCAGCGACACGAGCCAAGCAACACTATGAGCAATGCCCCTTAAATGCAGCTCGAGCTTAGCCCAGGGCTGCAACTGAGTCGCCCAAGATGCCTTTTTTTTTCGATTGAACAATGCACACTTCATGCTCAGTGTTAGTTGTTAACACAATGGGAGGTTGGTTCAAAAGGTTTTTTAACCCAATAGGCAAGGTCAGTTTAATGAGGGCGTTGGCTTATGTATTGATTAAGTTGGAAATTCATCGACAGACAATCGACATTAAACTGGTAAAAAAAACTCTTTTAGCAGGCGGGTAGCAAATGGCACATCTGTAATTTGTTTTGTCGTATTTCCTGTCATAAATCCTCTTGAATATAAAGTTTCCCATTTAGATTATGAAAAGGTATTTTTCCAAAGTTAAAGGTGATTTTTTTTATATTTTCCTCATTTTGGAAAAAACTTCTTACATTTAATACATTTTGGTTTAATATGTAGAAAATCGAGCT